GCCTACTTGATCATGTTTAATTAGCTTTTTGATGTGCTGCTAGATTTGATTTGTTAGTATTTTGGTGAGGATTTTTGCATCAATGTTCATCAATGATACTGGCCTGAAGTTTTTTTTTTTTTTTTTTTTTTTTTTTTTTTTTTATGTCTCTGCCAGGTTATGGTATCGGGATAATGCTGGTCTCGTGGAGGGAGTTAGGGAGAAGTCCTTACTTTTCAATTTTTTGGAATTATCTCAATAGGAATGGTACCAGCCCTTCATTGTATATCTGGTAGAATTGGGCTGTGAATCCATCCAGTCTTGAGATTTTTCTGGTTGGTAGGTTATTATTGATTCAATTTCTGAGATCATTATTGGGATGTTTAGAGATTCAATTTCTTCCTAGTTCAGTCTTGAGAGAGTGTATGTGCCCAGAAATTTACCAGTTTCTTCTAGATTTTGTAGTTTGTGTGCACAGAGGTGTTCATAATAGTCTCTGATGGTTATCTGCACTTGTATGGAGTCACTGGTAATATCTCCTTTTTCATTTCTGATTGTGTTCATTGGATCATTCTCTCTTTATTAGTCTAGCTAGTGGTCTATATAGCCTATTAATATTTTTTCAAAACCTCCGGGCTTCATTTATTTTAAAAATTTTTGTGTGTGTTTCAATCTCCTTTGGTTAAGCTCTGATTTTGGCTATTTCTTGTCTTCTGCTTGCTTTGGGGTAGTTTCCTCTTGCTTCTCAAGTTCTTTTAGTTGTGATGTTAGGTTGTTTGAGATCTTTCTAACTTTTTACGTGGGTGTTTAGTGGTATATTTCCGTCAACACTGCCTTAGCTGTGACCCAGAGATTCTGGTACGTTGTATCTTTGTTCTCATTAATTTCAAATAACTTGTTTCTGCCTTAATTTCATTATTTACTCAAGTCATTCACAAGCAGATTGTTTAATTTCTATGTAATTGTATACTTTTGAGAGATTTGCTTAGTCTTAAATTCTATTTTTATTGTACTGTGGTCCAAGAGGGTAGCTGATACATAATTTTGATACTTTTACATTTGCTGATTGTTTACTGTCTGATTGTAAGGTCAATTTTAGATCGTTGTATGGGGTGCAGATGAGAAGAATATATATTCTGTTGTTTGGGTGGACAGTTTTACAGAGATCTATCAGATTCATTCGGTCCAGTGGTCAGGTCCTGATTATCTTTGTTAATTTTCTGCCTCAATGATCTGTCTAATACTGCCAGTGGGATGTTGAAGTCTCTCACTATTACTGTGTGGGAGTTTAGACGGTCTCTAAGAACTTGCTTTATGAATCTGGGTCTCCCTGTGTTGGGTGCATATATATTTAGGGTAATTAGGTTTTCATGTTGAATTAAAACCTTTGCCATTACTATAATGGCCTTCTTTGTCTTTTTTTATCTTTGTCACCTGATGCTAGACAAGATTTTTAAAGTCTTTTTTGTCTGATATTAGAATTGTAACCCTTACCTTTATCAGTTTATTTGCTTGGTAGATTTTTCTCCATCCCTTTATTTTGAGCCTACAGGTGTCACTGCACATTGAGATGGGTCTCTTGAAGACAGCATACCATCATGTATTGTTTCTTTATCCAGCTTGCTATTCTGTGCCTTTGAATTGGGGCATTTAGCTCATTTACTTTCAAGGTTAGTATTAATATGTGTGGATTTAATCCTGTCATCATGTTGTTAGCTGTTTATTATGCTGAGTTCTTTGTGTGGTTGCATTACAGTATCACTAGTCTATGTACTTAAGTGTGTTTTGCAGTTTCTGGCCTTTCCTTTCCATATTTAGTGCTTTTGTAGAAGCTCTTGTAAAGCAGGTCTGGTGGTATTAAATTCTTTCAGCATTTGCTTGTCTGAAACTGATCTTCTCCTTCACTTAGTAAGCTTAGTTTGGTCAGATATAAAATTCTTGGCTGAAATTTCTTTTAAGAATGTTGAATATAGGCCTTCCATCTCTTTTGGCTTACACAGGTTCTGCTGAGAGTTCACTGTTATTCTGATGGGCCTCCCTTTCTTGGTGTCCTCTCCTATATCTCTAGCTGCCTTTAATATTTTTTTCTTTCATTTTGACCTTGGAGAATCTGATGATTACATGTCTTAAGGATGATATTCTTGTGAAGTATTTTGCAGAGGTTCTCTGCATTTCCTGAATTTGAATCTTGGCCTCTCTAGCTAGGTTGGGAAAGTTCTCATGGATGATATCCTGAAATACATTTTCCAAGTTGTTTCTCCCTATCTCTTTCAAAGATGCCAATGAGTAATAGATTTTGTCTCTTTACATAATCCTATATTTCTTGAAGATTTTGTTTATTACTTTTCATTTTTTCTTTATTGTTGTGTGACTGTCTTGTTTCTGGGATTCCAAAGGCCTATGATGACAGTGAGTTGCTCCATGCCTGTTTAACTTACCCACTCCACAAGAGTCATGGAGGGCCAGGAACAAGTCCCAGTGTGCAGCAGCCCTGTGCAGGGTTCCCAGCTTCCTCCCCTTTCAGCCCAGTATCTGTTTCCTCCTTCAGCCCACTCTCAACACCTTCCTTCTGAAGATCTGCTAGGAGTGTATCAGTTTTCCTGATGTCCCAATCCCTTGGTGGGAAATGTTCCTACTGGCTGGGTCTATTGGCCATCTTGGAGCCCTCTGTGCGTATTCTTTTTCTATTTTTGCAAAACAAGTTACTATAAATGAAACAGCTTAAAGTAACCCAAATTCATTAGCTCACAGTTATGTAGGTCAAAAGTCCAGGCCAACTCAACTAGGTTCTATGTTTAGTTTCTCACAAGACTGAATTTGGGTTGTCAGCTGAGCTGTGATCTAATTTGGAATATCTGAGAAGGAAACTGATTCCAAGCTCATTCAGGTTGTTGTGACAGGCTATAGCTCCTTGTGGTTGTAGGACTTAAATCTTCCTTTTCTTGCTGTTGGACATGGACTATTCTCATCTTCAAGCCCCTTTCATATTTAAAGCTAGAAATGGTGAGCTGAATCCTTCTCATGTTTCAAATCTCTGATTTTATCTTTTGTTCTCAGCTAAAGAAAACTCTGCTCTTCTTAGTTGATTGGGCCTATCCAGATAATCTTTTTAAACATATAACATGACATAGTCACAGAAGTGAAATCATTTTGCCATGGTGGTATGTGCCTCCATGGCTACCTGACTTTTTTTTGGTATTTTTTTTTTGTATTTTTAGTAGAAATGGGGTTTCACCATGTTGACCAGGCTGGTCTCGAATTCCTGATTGCTGTTTAATGACGCTATAAAGACAACAGTGAAAATAACCACCAACAGACATTAAACTTGTACTTAACAAAGATTCATCTTTAGTATAGTACATTTCAGATTCTTGACCAGTCCGTGACCCAGACCTATCATGAAAATATGAACAGGTAATCACAGGGCATATAAAGAAGTTTCTCTAACAAGACTTCTACCAGATCAGAGGAGGCGAAATTCAATATCCATTGACCATGGCTAAAATGTAATAATTCTACCCATTTTAAAGAAAAAAAAAAAAGAAATCTCAAATTCTAAAGCTACAGAGTTAATAAAAGTAAAATAGGCTTACCTACCAACATTTTCAAACTGGAGTAGGAGAAACTATTCAAAATGCTGCTTAGGCTTTCTCTTAATACAAAGAGTACTGAGGAAATATGACAACTTTTGTAAAATTGTATAGGGTATCAAACAAGACCAAAATGGAAGTTATGAGCATCATGGGTGAGGTGACACTAAATTTAGATTAAAAAAAAAAAGTAACACTCTCCTATAATAAGAAAAGGCTATATTCTAAAATGTACATTAACCAAAACTATGGTTATTAGACCCTCCCATGTTCAAGACTAGGATTGTACTATAGTTAAGTACTATTTATTAAGATAAGATAATGAGGTAATACACACACATCAAATAAATACTACAACCTAAACAGAACAAGTGAAGGACCTCTCTAGAACCCACTATGAAGAACTTATAATACTGAATAAATTATAAAAGGAATGTAGAATGCATTCATCTTTAAGAAAAACTGTGGAAGAGGATGGGAAGAAAACAAGGGAAAATCATCTTGATAATAAAGAGATTTTCAAGGAAATGGCAGAAGTCAAAAACAAAAATCATGGGCTAGGGGATTCTTCTGGAGAACTGTGAATTTAATAAACTATAAGCAAAACATATCATATGCAATTTACACCAGAGAGCAACTAATACACAGAAACAGAACAAGTCTCTCAAAGTCAAATAAATGCCACATGAAAAACGATCTGCTGCCATCACCATCATAAAATCTGAAGGTGAAATTTTATAAAAATTGAGAATAAAATTTTATGTTTTATCTGACATTGTGGCTTCTTGCAAGGAAAGAAAATAGTTTCACACCATCTCTAGCATATTTGTGCTCTAAAGTTTAAAAATCTGTATGTCATATTAAGAGCCAAGGAGAGTTAGTTACAGAAACAAGAATATCTAAAGCCAATTTTTAACAACTTTAGTTATCTCAAATTTTTCTTGTCTTTCCTTCTTCAACAAACGACAGCACCAGATTGGCTTGGTTCATATCTTGGGTTTGCGAACCTGTTGTCTGTATGACCTGGCTGATTCATTCTGCCTCTGGGAGAGGCATAAAACAGACATAATAACCTATCTTATTTCACTGAGTTCGGATTAAATGATTTGATATGTATTAACATGTAGTATCTACTACATAAATGTTTGTTAAATAAAATTAATGAAAAAAAATATTTCTTAAGCTAAGACCTATGTAAGTCTCTGAGTTTATAAAAACCAATGCAACAGGATGCCTCTTTTCAAAAAAAAAAGCTGGTAAGGGAGACAGATGAATGATCTAACAATGATTACAAAATAACAAGAAAGGTACCATTACAGAGATAGGCACAATCTATTTGCAAGTGCATAAATTGAAGGTAAGTGGGAGGTGGGTAGAAAATTAGGTCAATGTCATCACTGAAGTATAGAGTCTTTGCAATGATGTCCTTACTGCAAGGAAGTAGACTTGTTGGGCAAAACCTCCAAGAAATCATTACCTTCAATATAAATCACCAACACCTGAGAAAGTGTTATTTTTCTCCACTTTCAAAAGTGAATAGAAAAAAGGTATTTTCTACAAGTCTTTAGGGCTCCCTGATGACTATTTCTTCACTATCACTTCTGTAGCCTTAAGATAAGACTCTATTAATACTGGTAATTGAAAGATTCCTCCATCTAACCTCCCATATCCTTGCCAAATGGATTGGCCTTCAGTTTTGTGCCTTCTTCACACATCTATGTCATGCAGGAACAGTAAGAAGAAATGTGAAACCCAAAAGGAAAGGTCAGAAATCTGATCTTCACACTACCATTTTCTCTAACCCCCTGAAAAGCAATAGGCAAGGGCTACCTTAAAAACTGCCTGATTTGTTTTCAATGTAGCAGGGAAACTGCACATAAGCAATAAAAAATAGCTGCCACCTTCCTCTGCCTTTTTTTCTGTTTTCAGAAAACAGAACAAAAGAAAATATGTCAGAATAAAATACAAACCATTTATACTTTGGCTATTTCTTTAAGATTTTGTGACTTCAAAAAGTTTCAGCTATATCACATTCTAGCAAAATAGGTATTTAACTTTTCCGTATGTGCAAACTTTAGCTTCAAAACTGGAAGTCCCTAGCCAAAGCTCTTAACTCATCTGAAACAGTTGTTTCTAAGTTGAATAGCAAAGCTGTTCTTTAAAGGGTCTGCAAAAAAGTTCTAAAATCTGATCTTTAGGACCTGATTCAAAAAGGGAAGTATAACACGTATAACACTTTAGCACATTATTTATATTTTGGGTGTTTTTTTCTTTTTTTTCTTTTTTTTTTTTTTTTTTTGAGGCAGTCTAGCTCTGTCAACCAGGCTGGAGTGCAGTGGCGCGATCTTGGCTTACTGCAACCTCAGCCTCCAGAGCAGCTGGAATTACAGGCACATGCCACCATGCCCAGCGAATTTTTGTATTTTTAGTAGAGATAGGGTTTCACCATATTGGCCAAGATGCTCTCGATCTCCTGACCTGATCTGCCCACCTTGGCCTCCCAAAGTGTTGGGATTATAGGTGGGCCACCGTGCCCAGCCACATTATCTATATTTTGATACTAAATATGAATGACTTTGACCCTATTATAATTTTTACTACAATGTAATATGTAAGGCTTATTTCCATCCATTTGAAGATTTAAACTCAAGGATATAAAAAGACATCAAGTATCAGTTGCTAGAGGACCAGAAGTGGTTCTTCAGAGCTTATTTTACATCACATCTGGCAGGGTTCTGAACATTCATTTAATTATGTAATATATACCACTTCATGTTATATATATAAATGTTTATATAAACACTCTCATATATACCTACACGATTAATACATGTATACAAGCATATGCAAAATATCCTAATATTCTCCAATTAAAGTTTTTATAAGTCCCCAAGTAACAAAATAAACATGAATTAAGAAAGGCTTATTCGTGTTTTTCATAAGGACAATGAGTAACAAACAGCCCACCTGATCTTCTTTAAGTAACAGAGCAGTGTTTTCTTTATCATTCTGGCTGTGCTTTCATACAACCAGGAGCTTCCCCACAGACCCACAGAGACTGCTTCAAGTAATCATTGCTTATCTCTGGGCCCAGGAACAGGAGGAGAAAGGAAAGGAGGGAGGGAAAGACATCAACTCAATCACATGGAGTAGCTACATATTTTAAAACAATGTTATATACTGTAAGAAAATTAACATAAAAAGCAAATGGTTTTCTGACATCTTGCTGATCCACTGAAAACAAGAAAGGTAAAAATAAAGATGCTTACCTGCTGTTCCTGCATTCTAGGAGCACCAAGTTCTGAGAGAGACATGGTAAGCTTCTCTTGCTGTTCTGATAAATATTTCTGATAGAGGCTTAAAAGCTCTTGGCATTCTCTGTACTGTAGCTGAAGAGGTGAGATTGCAAATTAAGGAAAAAAAAACTGAAAAACTGATTCCAACTGCATCCATCAGTGCTGCTTTTCAGATTCCAATAAACAAAACAGAGCCAGAAATGCAATGATATTGGGTGAGAGAGTCGTAAGTATAAAGTCTTCAGATAAAAGTTACATGTGTTCCTCCCCCAAAATAATAAAACAATACTTCACAAAGAGAGTAGCAATGAACATCCCATTTGAAAAGAGATTTATTCCTCAATTCTTTAAATTTGAATAAATAAAAAGAAATGCAGAAACATGCAAAGGAACCCCTACCTCACACCATATTTTAAAAAAAGTTGAAAGTGTATCACTAATCTCAATGTAAAAGTTAAAACTATAAAACTCTTAGCATAAAAGTGCATCTCTGTGACCTTGGATTAGGTAAAAGCACAAGTAACCAATAAAAAGAAATAGACAAATTGGACTTCAAAATCTAAAATGATTGTGTTTCAAAGGACATTATTTAAAAATGGAAAAAATACAACCTGAATGAGAGAAAATACTTGGAAACAATATGGTAAAGAATTTGTTTCCAGAATATATAAGGACCTTGTCCAACCAAACAATAAAAAGACAGTCCAATTTAAAATTGGAGAAAAGCTTTGAATAGACATTTTCCAAAACAAACTCTGTAAATAGACAAGAAGCATAGGGAGAGATACTCAGCACAGCCATTAGGGAAATGCAAATCAAAAACACACTGAGATACCACTTTGCATCCACTAAGATGACCATAAAGAAAAAGACTAACAAGCAATCACAAGGATATGGAGAAACTGGAACCCTCCTACACAACTAATGGGAACATAAGACTGTGCTACCACTTTAGAAAATAAGTTAGCTATTTCAAAATGTTAGAGAATTTTTTTACCATATGACCCAGCAATTCTACTCATAGGCATATACTCAAGAGAACTGAAAATGTATTCTGAAGACTTAAATATATAAGCAAAGGAAACTTTTTAAAAAAACATATGTCCACACAAAAACTTGTATATACATATTCAATATGGCATTATTCCTAATAGTAGAAAAGGAAAACAATCCCAATGTCCACTGATAAATGAACAAAATGTGGAATATTTATAAATGGAATATTATTCAGCCCTCAGAAGGAATGAAGTATTGCTACATGCTGCAACATGGATGAACCTTAAAAAAGTGCTAAGTAAAAGAAGCCAGACACAAAAGGCCATATAATCTTTGATTTCATTTGTATAAAATATTCAGAACAGGCAAATCTAAACAGACGGAAATAGATTAGTGATTGCTAGGGTTAGGGTAAAAGAAATGGAGAGTAACTGCAAACAGGTATGCATTTTGGGGGAAAGGTAATAAATGTGTGCAGGAATTACAAAGTAGTGATGTTTGCATATTTTGGGAACATACTCAAAACCATTTAATTATATAGTTTAAATGGGTGAATTTTATGTGAATTATACACATTAAAGCTATTTTAAATCAGTGTGGGGTAGAAATAATATTGTTCTGGTAAGAGTACTGCCAATTTACACAAAGTTCCTAACTATTAAACATAAAGATATTAGAATTTGATTTTTTTAAAGTTTTCAGTTAAGTCAATATTTCATTAATCAAAACATCACCAGGAAATTTTCTGCCTGCATACCTCCCTACATTTTTTATAGTTTGATATAAATAACAGCAATTTAACCTGGAGTACCCTCTCTCACATCTCCTAAAACTTCCCAAGTGTTCAAGATGAAAATACTGAATTGGAAAAGGTCAGCTAACTTTGTAGACCAGGTGCCTGGGAGACATAGTTCTACCCAAGAGAGAGTTCTGTTCCTTACTTCTCACTGTACTAATTTCCTCCCCAGGCTCTTTTTCCCTTCAGATCATTTTCACATCTCCCCTTAACACTTACTTATGTATGCTGTTGGTATAAGAATTACTATCCAATGGGATTTATTCTGTATAAATACTTTTACTACAGGTCATCATGATTAAGGGTTGAAATATTATTTCTCAAATGTCAAAAATGGTGTCTGGATTCAGTATTCCTTAACATTTTCATAACCTAATCATTGCTTCTGGGCAGATTCTTGTTCTAATAACTTTTGCCAATCATGACTGCATAAATAACCAATTGCTTCATTATTCTCATTATTAACCTTTAACAAAAGAGAGCCAGAGGTAGATGATAGAAGAGGAGCTGGTTCACAGGGAAAGGACAGGTTACTGAGCTTACGGAATACATTAATTAGAAGAGCCTGTTGAATTCTTAGCATCTTAAATAACAACAATAGCATAAATGATGGTCTAAATAGGTTTTCAGAGTCAACCTACATTAGACTAGGCTGCTTTTACATTTCCATAGGAAGCAAGCTCCAAAAGAAGAGAATGATTTGTGGTGGTCCCAGGAGTCTCTGCCAGCTATTATGTATATAAAAAGAAATTTTTATTCTCACTGTTACCATAGGCAGTAATTTTTATAGTAGGTGAACATATTAGTCTGGTCACAGAATATGAATTTTACTCTGGAAAAATCAAGCACAATTATATAGCTTAGGAGTAAAATGTCAGTGTTTGAAACAAATTATAGGCAAATTCATTTAAACACATGCTATGTGGCAGAATATAAAAACAGGCCTACCTTTATCAATTTTTAATGTCTTTTTTGATATAGCAGATTTCAAAATGCCCTCCCCTTTCCTTCCTCCCTAGCACAATGAGACTTCAACCCTCCATCTGGAGAGAAAGATTTATGTTACAAAAATGCAGATAAAATGCCCTTCTCAATGATGTTGGGGATACAATGAAAGAGAAGATATATTTAACTTAATCCTGACCAACTGACAGTAAAAATGAAATAGATGTTAAAAACCAAACTTAAGGGAAAGTATAGCCCAAACTATGACATGAATTTAAAATGCTGTAGTCTGCCTAACCACTGTTTAAGAAGTGGGAGAAACAGCTGTCACTGCAACCTCTTCAAAGAAGTAAGTCTTCATTAGATAATACTAATTTATATTTGTGTTAAGATTATATCAAAACCTAAGTATCAAATTAGCTGAAATGGCTGTGGAAAATAATCATTTCGTAAAGCTTAAAACCCTAACACTAAAATTCATTAAATAAGTAAAAGTAAAGAGCAGAATGAATAAGGGGATGAGTAAAAGAATAAAAACTGTATGAGAGAAAAACCATAGGTAGAGAGCGGAAGGGCCAGAGATAGGATATACTACTAGGGGGCTGCCAAAGTAATGAAACATCATGCAGGCTGAAATAATTCCCCTCGCCTAGCAGAGTCCACTCCCACCACTCCACCGCACCTTGTCTCTGACACCTGGGATGCTTGGACTGGTACTTAAGTAATCTTGATCTAATACAGAAGTTAATGTAGAGAGGCCTCTGTGAAAAGACAAAAAAGGTGAACCATTAAATTAAAAAAAAAGATTCTCCTTTTCTGGAACCAAGACTCCTTAGAAAAATGGCTGAACCCCATTTTGGGGTAGAGAAAGTGTAAACTTGAAACACGTTGTTGTGCTGTAAAATGCAAGAAAGTGTTAAAAGACAAATAGATGGGGGCTTGTCACAAGAATAGAAGATACCAGCCAGGTGCGGTGGCTCACGACTGTAATCCCAACACTTTGGAAGGCCAAGGCGGGAGGATCATGAGGTCAATAGACTGAGGCCATCCTGGCCTACATGGTGAAACCCCATCTCTACTAAAAATACAAAAATTAGCTGGGTGTGGTGGTGCATGCCTGTAGTCCCAGATACTTGGGAGGCTGAGGCAGGAGAATCGCTTGAACCTGGGAAGTGGAGGCTGCAGTGATCAGAGATTGCACCACTGCACTCCAGCCTGGCAACAGAGCGAGACTCCATCTCAAAAAATAAAAATAAAAAAATTAGCAGGGCATTGTGGCAGGCGCCTGTAATCCCAGCTACTTGGTAGGTTGAGGCAGGAGAACTGCTTGAACCTGGGAGGTGGAGGTTGCAGTGAGTTGAGGTTGCACCATTGCACTCTAGCCTGGGTAACAAGAAACTCCGTCTCCAAAAAAAAAAAAAAAAAAAGACCTAGGAGATAGCCTGAAGGGGATGCCTATTAACCACATTTAGGAAATTTTGAGCACTGAAATAATCACTCTAATTAATAGAATATTGAATAAATAAAAATCCACCTGCTTCATGGTAACGCTTCAACAAAAGGAGAAGAAAGGATGGATAAAGTGAAGTCAGGCCTGTAATCCCAGCACTTTGGTAGCTCGAGGCAGGTGGATCACCTGAAGTAAGGAGTTTGAGACCAACCTGCCCAACATGGTGAAACCCCATCTCTACTACAAGTAAAAAAAATTAGTCAGGTGCGGTGGTGGAAGTCTGTAATCCCAGTTACTTGGGAGACTGACGCAGGGGAATTGCTTGAACCCGGGAGGTGGAGGTTGCAGTGAACTGAGATGGAGCCACTGCACTGCAGCCTGGGAAACAAGAGCAAAACTCCATCTCAAAAAAAAAAAAAAAAAGTCTTTCTTTATATAAGAAAACAAGCTAATTACTTAGAATCGTCAAATTTTTAAATCACTATTTTAGAACCCCCAATGTAATAACTAATTCAGGCAAAGATCATTAATGGATACTAAAACCATTAGGTAAAAGGTTAGTGAATTAGATATTCCTAAGGTGTAACAATTACTTACAGCAAAGAAGAAAATGCACCTTTCAATGGTACAGTCTGGTGGTCAATACTCAATTTAGAATCACTAATAAGTAGAAAAATAAATTATGTATGTCCAATTGCATGAAGTAGGCATTACCACTTATGTTTTAATCTGAATCTAATCTGTAAACCTAACTTCCACTTCACAGAATTTAGAAGGAATAAGGAACAAATTAAATGATACCATAAGAAACAATCAAACAAATCTAGTACATAGGAGATTTTGCAAAGCACTTGGCCTGAACTCTTCAAAAGGTCAATGTCTTAGGAGAAAAGGTTTGTGGGTAGG